AAAGTACTCCAGAGTGTTGTTCAGCATGGGGGTGAGTAGAAAATGAAGGCTAATCATGTTTTGGGTGTACTATTCCTTTAATATTGATCTGTATTAGAAAAATAAAAATTACAACTTCTGTATGATGTGCTATGGGAAAGTTATGCTATTGCCAACTTAATAGTTTTTCAATAATGTTGTATTTACTTTTTTAATCCATTGAACTCTATTTTATTTTTATCATGTTAGTCTCTTTTTCTGATTATGCCTGGTAATTGGATTTTCCCACTGTACCTCAGCTTCTCAGTCATTTTGTCCATACTCACTTCAGTAATCACTCCCCAGATGAAAGACTTTCATTCGATACTTTTGTTTTTAAACCATGGTATTATTAGCCATTTTTGTATTTTTTGTTTTGTAGCTTATTTCAGTATAAATAATAAAGTAACTGATAATTACAAGGTTTAATACTTCATCAAACATGGCTTATATAAAGGAAGTTTAGGCAACTGGACCTTCTGGACTGTATACCTGCGCTTTAATGTTATGTTTTTAACAAGACAAAGAAGAAGATGTCGCATTTGGAGTCTGAAGCTTGAACTGGTGGTCGGAGCAGTGCAGACGTCTTTGACAGGAGGCAGTTGACAGAGAAGATTGATAGCGGTTGGCATAAACTGGTTTGTGACTGGGTCAGAATGGCCAATCAGAAAGTAGAGGAAGATGGGGAATTGGATTCTGGCGACTGGACACCCGAGGCTAACAGGAGAAGAGAAACGGGGGGAAATAGGAGATGTTGAGTCAGGGAAGTAAACGTAGTTGGGGAGAGAACAGTTCTGATGAAGGCAGTGGGTTTGTGCGGAAAAGAGCTGCGAGAGAAGAATGTAAAATCATCGTCAAATTTAGTAAAGAAGATGAGCATGTGAGTTTAAGCCTGAAAGCAGTATCCAGGGACCTGAAAAAGAAGCTAGGAGATGTGGAAATGGCAAAGATTTTGAGAGATGGAAGCCTGTTGATAACATGCAAAAAAAAGGAACAGAAAAGCAAAGCTTGACAAGTTAAAAATGTGTGTAAGAAAATAATTATTGAGAAAAAGACTGTGGGTGAGAGTAGAATGAGGTGGGTAGAATTAAAAGACTATGAGAACAATAAACGGTAAAAGGGTTGAGTGTTTGTCAGTTCTTCTGGAGTTTCAGAAGACTTCACTTCCAGAAAAAGTGAAGATATGATGCATGAGCTTTCTTGCTAGGCCCTACATTCCTCCACCGCTACATTGTTACAAATGCCAGAGGTATGGGCATATAGCAGTAGTTTGCAAAGGGAAGCAGAGATGTCCTAAATGCGGAGGTGAGCATAGAGTGGAAGAATGTAAGGAAAATTCCCAGGATAAATGTTGTAATTGTGGCGGCCAACACAGGGTTACACATGGTGGTTGTGAAGTCAGGAAGAGGGCTGTAGAAATACAGCATGCTAAAACAGTTAACAACATAATTTATGCAGAAGCAGTGAAGAAAGTGCAAGGACACAGAGTAAGGGTGGATACTGACAACGTTATCCAGGCGTCGAGACTAGAACCAGGTCAAACAGGTAAAATAAATACAGAGCTGTCAGTGGAGAAGATTATTTTGTTTGTGGCATATGTGATCAACTGTACTGATCAAGTTAAACACAAAACCGAGAAATTTTAAATAACAGCTAAGGGAGCTGAGAAGTTTTGGGGCATAAAAGATGTATCTTGGGAAAATATCAAAACAAGACTTGAAGCAGATGGAAACACTGGAGGCCCAGGTGAAAAGGCAAACTGATTATTGTACTGTGGAATGCAAGAAGCATAATAGCAAGTGGTCAGGAGTTTAAGGGATTTCTTGAAGATTTGAAAAAATAAACCAGAAATCCATGTGTTCAAGAAACATGGCTTAAACCAGAAGGATATGATAGCATCCGTAGAGTTAGAGGGGAGGGTAATGGAGGAGGATGTATAATATTTATAAAACAAGGAATGCAATGTAGAGTTTTAGGGAAAGGAAAAGAGTTGGAATATATAATAATTGAAGTCTGGACTAAAGAAGGAAATATCAGAGGTGTTAACTTTTACAATCCATGTAATAAATTATCATTAGAGTGGCTGGAGGAACTGGTGATACAGTTAGTAGGGAAGGTGATTTGTTGTGGGGACTTTAATGCCCATAGTACATTATGGGATTACTATAATGACGCTAATGGGATGGTGGTTGAGGAAGTAATGGAGATGACTAATTTTATTTAAATGATTGAAGGGGAACAAGATTTAATATGAGAGCTGGTACAGAAGCAGCCCCATATTAGTATCAGATTCATTAGCAGGAATTTCTACATTGGAATTAGTCAGAGGAACAACAGTAGGAAGTGACCATTATCCTATAGTAACAGTAGTAAAGAATACTGGAGTAGTAAAGTAACAGTAGTAAAGAATACTGGAGGAAATTGTGTTGCTCAGTAGGAAGGGAGACAGACATTGGTAAAATATGGGGGATGATAAAAAGAAGGAACAGAATAAAAAGAGAGTAAGGATACCCAGTCTTAAATGATGGACAAACTATAGCAGTGAGAGATGAGGAGAAAGCAGAGATGTTGGCTAAAACTTTTAAAACAATTCACAGCTTAAATATAAAGAAGGGAAATAAGGGAGGGAAGAAAACAGTAATGGAGAATGAGGAGTTACCGTCAGGCTTTGAGATGATGTGCGGGAGCTTTTAAAACCACTCCAGCACTACAAGTGGAAATGGGCGAAATGCTTCTTGAGTTAAGAAGAAATTAGTCATCTCTGAATTACTGGGCTAATTTACTGGGTTATAGTGAAGATCATCCGGCACAAAGCACTTCAAAATCTTGTTGGCAAATGGAGAAGAGGGAGAGTAAAAGCTTTGGGTGGACAGTTAAACAAAAAGCAATAAAGTTTGAATTAAATGATTTAACGTTCAGTCCAACAGTACCACTGCAGTACCACCTTAGATTCTACCTGAAGCGAAAGCAGATCTGACACTATTAGAAAAGAAAAACAAGGATAGGGGGTGTATTTTGAATTCACTTATAATACAGGCATATATTAATAGTTACTACAGTTTCATCCAGATATATACAGATGCATCAAAGAGTTTAGTTAACAAGATAGGAGTATCTTTTATTGTCCCAGAGTTTCATATTATAATAGGAAAGAGAACCAGTGATAATATCTTAGTATACACAGCAGAAATGCAAGCAATTCTGTTTGCAGTACAATGGGTAGAGGAAATAAGACCACTGAGAGTGGTTATTTGTTCAGATTCATCGTCACCACTTATCAGTTTACAGAGAAATCACTCAGATAGCAGAGCAGATATTTTATTTGAAATCCAGCAATAATTATACAGATTTCAAATGATAGGCATAACAATCATATTTTTTATGGGTACCAGCACACAGGGGAGTTAAAGGAAATGAAATGGCTGATAAGGCTGCAAAGGAGGCTACAACAAGAGATGCATTTGATCTGTTAGTTAAAATTAGTAAGATTGAGACAAAGAGCATGATTAAACAGAGACTGAAGAAAAGGTGGCAAAAGCAATGGGAAGAAGACAGGAAAGGACGGTGGTTTTATATGATTCAGAGGAGAGTGCGAGAACTGAGATGTGCAGGAAGGAACAGAAGAGAAGAAACAATTATATCAAGACTTAGATTTGGGCATACAGGATTAAACAATACTTTATTCAAAATAGGTAAAAATAACACTGGCATGTGTGAATATTGTGAGCAACAAGAAACAATTGAACATGTTATGGTACACTGTAAGAATTATGAAAGAAAAAGGAGGGAATTGGTTGAAAACCTTAAAAAAGAGATAATACACTTTAATTCAATAGAAATCCTTAGAAAGAACTTAAAAGTGTTATGTAATTGTTTTTCATTATCTTAGATTAATCAATGTAATTGAGAGGATTTGAATCATATTATGGTTTTGTTGGTTTTTGTTTTTTTCTTTCTAAGTAGGTAGTAGCCATTCAGATCCACAGTCCATACCAGTTGGTGGCGGTAATGCGCCATTAAGGTAGCGTGACAACCGCCAATAAAGAAGAAGAAGTCGCTTTAGCTGTTGCTAAATTAAACTGCTAACGTTGCTAACAGGTGGACGCTGGCAGGAGTAAGTATGAAATGTGTGCTGAAATTTCATATTTAACTTAACAAAACTAAGTGTAATCATGAAAAAAGGGAATTCCTTTTTTTGTTTCGAGTATATACACGACGATATAATTTGGAAGTAAAAATAAATATCATGTTTAACTTGTAAACGTTGCCAAATTTAAAGATTTTATATCTTAGGAAGGTGACAGGTTGATACAGGTCTTTACATGAAGGTTTCGTTAATTTAACTCTGGTTTTGCATTCTGCGGTGTATTGTGAGGTTGGAAACACGGGGATGTTAGACAGGGTGAACTATTCTCTGTCATTTAACTGAGTGTATATGCTGTTTTTTTGCCAATGCCGCTAGTAGCCTATAGCAGTGGATTCACGCCATGTTAAGAAATTAATAAACCGATTTTGTGTTTTTGGGCTGCGTCTTCCAAGGAAAATAAGGAGACTGGAAGAGTTTTGTCTGTGTATTCAAACAGCTCCAGAACTTCGGTAGATTTTACCGCCGTAGGCTGTCGCCTAGCAACCGTGACAGTAACACACAAAGCAGGAAAAGAGTGAATACTGAACTTTTCAAAACTATTTACTTCTTTTATGTTTTCTTTTTTTTTTATTGTGAAGTGAACAAAGACTACACTCATGTGAATGCAGAGTGGAAAGAAGGTGACAGCCACCCGGGAGCATGAACAAATGAAAGCAAATGTAATGATATAAACCTTAACCAGTTAAATAACATGCTGCTGTCATTTTCCACATTTCAGGTGTTGCTGCTATTTTCAAATATCCATTACTTTAATTAATGTCCATAGCTGTAAATTGGTTATTATTCTCCAGGTGCACTGTTTTTATATTGTTAAAACACTTTACAGTACAGTGATGTATTGTTTATCTTTTTACTCTTCATTATTATGTTATTCTTATACATTTTTCTAAAGTCCATATTTGTGTGACTATTTTTTCTATAATCTTTTTGCTGCTGTAAACATCAGAATTTCCCCATTGTGGGACAATAAAGGAATTTTCTATTGTATTCTATAAAGGGGTAAGAAAGATGTATGTCAATCTAAACAATGTATTTATAAAAATCTGCAAAAACTAGTATATTCAACAACAAAAAATACTTTAAGGAAATTGTGCAAAATAGCAATAAAAAAAATAAAAATATCAGATTTATAGTCCACACACTGCAGATATATTAGAATCTGTCCTTAAATATCAGCCAAACCCATTTGCACAGAAAAAGATAAAAACCTTTTAGATATGTCAAACATTACCCGCAGCATATCTGACTCAATAACCATTTAAAACAACAATTTTCTTAAATTTTAGATGGAACTATTCTATTGAAATGTACTTCCAGGATCCACTTCCAGGATCCACCACTGTTCGGCGCCAAGTACTTTTTTTCCTCTTCTCACAGAGCAGCCCACACACTTTGTTTTACAATGAATCCTGGGATAGCCAAGGATAGATGGAATACACCGGACCCATCCTTCATCTAGAGCTAAAATAAGGAGGCATTTATAGGCCACATAATGTCTTGGAATCCAACTAGACTTTGGCGTCGTGCTATGACGTAATCGGCCTTCGAATCTTGCCTTTAGAGGACGCCTCCAATAAATGTGAGTGCAGCCCATCTTTGTTAGCAGATCAGTCAGTACTGGTTACCATATTAGTGTCAAAATAATAAAATGGTTAAAAACTCGTTTTTTAACTGATTCAAATCACCAAAAGAAAGCCTTTGGAGGCATTTGTCTTAAATTTGTTAGTTGGCTATAATATCTATTAGTATAAGACCAATAAAATAACTGATTTTGAAATAGTCGTCAACTAATGTATAATCGATTAATTTTTAACTAGAGCATAGAGACTTTAAAACATATCTTTAGCTGACAGAGCAACTCAGAGCAGCAATCATACAAAATATTTTTTTTTTTTAAGACAAAAAAAAAAAATTTTTTGTCTGTCAATATGCTCTATCTTCCCAGCAAACTTTTCCTTCAGTGTAACTTGTTATTTAAATGCTTTGAACAGAATTATTTTAGCTGAGTTATGTTTTACACTCTTTGTGAAGATTTTAATAACTGTAACATGGACCACTGTCATCCTGCAGTTTTCACTTTGATATTTAGCCACATCATAAGTGCATCAAAATATGTCCTTTATTAGTTGATATTAAAAAAAGGCTGAATTAAAACTGAGGTTTTTATTGCTTCGATTATTTTATTAATATTTTTTCTTTTTTTCTGTTTAAGAGAATCTCAACATGGCCACACCAGTGTCTGTGCTACGCCTACCAAAAGGTCCTGACCCAAACAGTCGTGGGTTTGACCCGAGTTCTCCTCGTTTCATCGCTCTCTGCCGCACATCCATTCCTACTTCGGCCGGAGCAGATACCGAGCAGCTGCTGGAGGAACAACATGCACGCTCTGTGCTTAGAGAGCGTTTCCTGCGCTGTCTGCTTGCCATGAGTAACAAGAAAGTTCACTTTCGCATGCACGAGAAGGTAAACGTTGAGGCCACATTTGGGGCGTCGGACATTGACGTGCTGAACTTTCAAGTGTCTGATCTGCACACTCCCATCGGGGTACAGAAAGAGGCCCTCATCAGATGTCATGATGTAATTTCATTAACATTTGAAGTATGACACTGGGTCTAATTCCAATCAGAAGCACTTTACTGTCTCTGGTTTGATTCTGTGAAAACTCCTTCAAAGTGTTTTTTTTTGTCTGTTTTTGTTTTTTCTCTCTACCGAGGTTGGTATTGATGCCATATGTTTCTGTTAAAACTCTGAGTCTGATTAAAACATTGTGACCTACAGATTCACATCTTTCATTTACAAACGGTTTGTTTCACCACAAGAGGGAGCCATTTATTTTTCATTGATGGCCTGGGTAGTAGATTAGTATAAAGATTAGTATAAATGTCTTTATATTGTGACAACTGTTATATTTGTGCTGACAGACAGTTTTGTCAGATTAACTGACATTTTGATTGGAAACCAGGCTGGAAGTAGTCATTGTTTAGGGTGTTGCTTAATGAAAAAATGATTAAATTGGTGGCATAACAGCTTGTTTTTTGCAGTACAATTGTGTCTCAGACCTTTTTTCTTGACCTATGAACTTATATCGCATTATTCCACGTATTGCCTGGATGGCAACACTGCACTCTTCTTTTGAGAAGCTACAAGATATTGCTTTTTTCATTAAATAGTACATGTATTGCAGCTGTATTAATATTCATATGTTAGAGCACAAATTTCAGGTTCTTACAATTTCTACCTTTATAGTTGTTTTCTCCAATTTTTGTAGCTTGAAAATAAAATTGTCGATCACTGATGCTTTTCAATACTTTTTATTTGAAAAACAAAAAAAAAAGGCTTCTTCAACATCCACTGTATTGCAGATGCTTTTATTGCTTGCTTATGTTTCAGTTTAACAAGGGATTTTTTTTTATTTTTTTTTTACCAGGATCAGCTTCTTTAAATACATCCATTCTTAATCAAATTTGGACACACCTAATCTTTTTGAGCTTTGTATCAACAGGCTGTTACAATTACTATATTTTTCATGTGAATAAGTTATTTACTAAATTCATGTATGGATTGCAAAGCATTAAAAGTTTCAATTTAATGTTCCCTCCAAAAGATTTTATTATCCTTGTAGTCAACCTATGCTGCATTTCAAAAAGTGCAAACTTTTAATTATAACCTCAACAAAACACAAACATCAAGTCAGAATACTTAAACACACACAGTCCGTTCCTATTGGATTTAGGAAGGAAGCAACACTAGGTGATACTAATTAGGTGAATATCAGAAGACTTGGCCACATCTGTTTTGAATATGATGCTAAGGGGCAGTTTTGAATTCCACTGCAGTATAGACCTTAGCGAAGCAGTTATGGCTGTCTGCAAGTGTGGGAAATGTTATTAGGTAATCCGTAAACTATTTTTGAAGTCTGTCATTCTAGTGTGAACAATAATTATGATGGTTGCCAAACCTCCCAGGGATGGATGTGCCAGCAAGGTCAAACCATGCAATACTCTAAGAACTTGTAAGCAGTAAAGAGCTACACCTCAGCGTGTTAGCTCTTAAAGTTTTATGGCTCGATAACTGGTTGAAGACAGGAAAGCCCATTTTCTCTTGAGAATGTTGAAATAGCCAAAAAGCAAAGTTGAGAGACTGGCAAAAGGCAAATGCAAGCACAGTAGTGGAGGGATAATGATCTGGACTTGTTCAGCAGCAAAAGGGTCTTTTTTTTTTTTTTTTTTCTCTACAAACAGCTTGTCAACCATGAACTACTGTATACAGAAGCTTTCCAGAGACATAATTACAAGTGAACTTTATTTGAACTTTGCAATTCGGAATTGCAGAATATCAGAAAAGAAAACAGGAAAGTACAGAGCAGTGTAGAGGCGTGCACAGACATTTTGCGGGCAGGTGCTCAGGAGGGGGGGAGTGCACTTTTTAGTGCACGTGGAACACTTAATTATTAAAAAAAAAATACGCACGCATGTTGAATGAATTTTGACTTTTATTTGTAACATTCTCTTAATGTGATTTTCAATGGAAAAAAGTCACACCA